CAAATTTCATATTCTGCAGCTTGTGATTGATAGCTAAAGTTATGTACATCAGTGAATATTTTGATGAAATGTTTGCACAATATACTGTTTATCATTTTTCAAGTAATAATTTATCAAATAAAATTAAGTATTTAATTTTTTAAATATTTAATTTGCAATCAGAATTAAACTTGCATTGAGTTAGTTCATTTGGATGGTTGCTAAGGAGAAAAGCATTGAAAGCAAATGCGCTCTCCAACTCACTCTTTAATTTGTATCCAATGTCCAACTTTTAAATTAAAAAAATGAATATTGAAGGATAAGTCAATGAAGTCTGCAAATTATGCAAAACTTTATTGCTGCTCTCTTTTTTAGGGTCCAAAATAGTATTTTTCATTCATAATTTCTAATTTAATCAATTTATTCAAATTAATTAATTAATTAATTAATTAATTAATTCACTAATATATTTAAAAACTAAGAAAGCTGACAAATTTGTAATAATAAGTAGGAAGAAATTTAAATTCTCCCTATTCTTTGAATTAATTAATTCATTTTGAAAATAGTTGATCATTATTAATTACCTGTTGTTTAGCCATTGTTCCAAAGCTGTCCTATACTAATACTATTTTCGATTGGAATGAATTAATTAACTCAGATCAAAGCATAGCAAATTTGTTGCGTTGTCATGCGATGCTAAGTTCGTCTCCTGAGCTTATCTCATTAGGCCATTGCTCAGAGTTAGTATCTTTCATCAAAAAATGTTCACTGCTTGTCAAACCAATAAACTGATCTTAAATCAACGGATTAAGCGTCTTTTTATTCAAAATATCAAAGTTATCGAATAATTATTTTTGCTAATTTATTAAGTATTAACTATATGTTTGCAGTGGCATTAAATTATGCGCATAACACAGTTAGTCATATTTGTCATGTTGAATTTTAAATTAAATTTAATATTGAGCAAAGTTGCATACATTTATCAGTGATGCATTTTCTGTGTGCAATAATTTTAGCGCAGAAAATTAGATACTTAAAAGTAATTTTTTAAGCTGTAGAAAGCTAAGATTTATTTAAAGTACTATTTCACTTTCATCAATTTAAAATGAGTTTAGTCTAATAATACCAATCGAATATTACACTTAAAATCAAAAAATCAAAGTAAAAATCATTCTAAAATGACGTCATTTAAAGCATTTTTGGATTCAGCAAAGTGCTATTAGCAATGCTTCATAGCACTGAGATTTGTGATGAGAGAAAATGTCATGATGACTCGTCGCTCGTTTGCTATCGCCAACAATGACTGTTTGTTTGATCGAAAGTACTTCTATATTCAAATTCCATTACTGTATTTTGTATTTCAATTATCATTTAAATTTAATTATGGAATTTAATTTATTATTAATTTATTTATTAATTAAATTTCTTTGTTTGCTACTTTTTTATTCAAAAACTCTTTAAAATATAAGCATTTGTGTTGTAGAGTTCCCTATCACATATACAATTATGTAAATTTGTGCTTGAAGTTTACAGCAGTTTGCGTTGTGATATAAAATTATGCATATTTTTGAAATAAATTTAAAATTTATCAAGATACGATATTAAAAGTATGTGGTTATTTTCAGTATAGATTTTTGAGAATAATATATAGTAATTTTTAACTAAACAAAACTTCAAATTTAAATAATTTTGAAATTTATTTAATACTACAAACAGTTCAACTCTTTTTTGAATAAAATATAGCAATTATCTGTTTACTGATTAATAAAAATTATCAAAACAAAATTTTTACATTCTGAAAGTAAAAAATAATCATGATACAATAATAATGAATTGTGAAACCGTAATTTTTACAAAACTTCAGTAAAACCTTTTTTCTTACATTTTAAAAACGTTAAATGCTCATAAAACATAAAATTATTAATTAAAATTTTTTTTATTAATGAAAATTTTCTTTAATTTTGCTAAACTGTTACTTGCTTTTTATATACTTTGCACTCATATTTTTGAATTCACATTATCTCACACATTCTCACTGATTCATTCAACTTCCACAAATGAATAGCATGAATAATTAACCATTTCATACTATCATATATTTGTTGACATTTGGGATTATATTTGCACGACATTCAACCATTTTTTATGACTATTTTTTGTATGTATTTTTGTAATGATAGAAAGTATTAAATAAAGCTGAATAAATAAATATATGATAGAAATAAATTGAGAGAAAATAAGAATAAAACTGCAATCAGTAAAAATTAAGTCTTTAAAAATTAATTGTTGAATATTTATTAGTTGATTAGTTGATCTGATCACTGATCATCACTATATTATTTATTAGACATGGCATATTTTATGATTAATAATAATAAGAATGAAAAAATTTTAATTCAATACTTTTCATTTAGTTATTATTTAATAAAACTAAATCTTTTGCAATTTTTTTCAATTATTTATTTAAAAAGAAATGAACACAGTTTTTTTATAGCAAAAGTTGCATACCAAATGTAATGAACAATGCGTACGTGAAACGTTTCATCAACTAATTCCAAATTTTAAACATTTTTCCAAAATCAATTTTGTACAGTTTAGTTCATTTTTGTGTTTTATTATTTGTGTACAGGAATTGATAGTTTTAAAGTTGAGAACATTCTTTTTTGATTAATAAAAAATTATAATTGCTTTCGTCTTGTTTCCAGCTTTTCTAATTCAAAATTTCTTTAATTTAAAAAAGTGCTTTATTTTCAAACACGTCGAAAGTTGTCTTTTAGCAAAATTCCTTAATTATGCAAATTTATTAATCTAGTTTTTTTTTTTTTGGAAAAAAGCAAAAATTGAGTTGTCAAACTTCGAGAATCAGTAGTAGTTAGAGTAAAATTCATTTATGATATGGAAGAAAAAATATTTCAATCTTACTTGTATTCAAAAAATAACTTGTTTGCATTTATTTATTGCGTTATCTTCGAAAACGTGCTTTTATACAAAGTCTTCAAATTTAATTTGGCTGTAAAAAATTTTTAACTGTAAAAGAAATTATAGATAGAATGTATTTTTTATGTTTTTATTTTTAGATAATTCAGTTTTTTTGAATTATTTTATTTGCATTTATTACAATACTGTTAATTACAATTATTCTGAAACGTTATTCCATTCATTACTTTCTTATGCATAAATATTTAAAAAAAGTATAAAATACATAATTGCTCAATTTTTTTACTATGCAAAAGTTTGAAAATATTATTTGCTGTTCTGCTGAGCTAATCATTTTCAGTTGTATTACTTTGAGAACTAGTCAGTCCTTAAAGTTATTTTTTTAACCACAAATTTAAAATCAACAAGCAGCAGAGTGAATAATAATTTCTTTTTCAGTTTTATATCTATTGTTTGTTCAGAGAAAAAAGCA